TTCTTTCTTTCTCTCTCTCTCTCTCTCTCTCTCTCTCTCTCACTCACTCACTCACTCTCTCCATCTATTTATCTCTTTTCTTTTCGTTTAAACGCTCTCGGGAAGGTTGGCGCATCCACAAATTTTAGATTAACGCGTGACTCGAGCCTTAGCTTACATTTGCAAACCGCTTTTCGCTTTTTTTACTTCGCCAAATGGCAATGATTGCCCTAGAGTTTAGCAAACGATCCTTTCCTATCGTAAGATTATTTTCATTAATAGCACACTTTTCATTACGTATTTATCTTAATAATGGCCAATATTGTAACGTTATATTATGAAAATTCCATTATTGTCGAGAGACCAATGTCGATTTTGTAATTGACCGTTGCTTTCGAGCGCAAAACCAAAATCACGACGCATTTGCCAGACTGAACGTGGATTTAAATGGAAACGAACTTGCTGTCGTTAAAAAAATTATTTCCCAATGTGTTAACACTACAGATAATTCAACTTAATGTCAATATAAGCTAGCAGTACAAGTGCAATACAAATATTAGTCAAATATAATTTCGTCGATATTTATTAATAAAGCGTTTTTACTTCGTCACTTTTATTACTTTATATCTATAAAAGTAATAATACTTAGTGGAATGTAATGAGTTTTGTATACATAAAAGTTTAACTACAGGCCTATGAATTTCGTCAGTTAATCGTTTATTATTATTATTATTTTTTTTTTTATTATTCATTATTATTTGGGAATATTTCATTTTCAAAAGTTTTTCAAAAATATTCATTTTAAGATTATGGAGTGGGAGTATAATATTTCTTGAAAATCTTTATGCCTAATGAATCGATTATTTATTATGCACTTTAAAATTCTCTCAAAATTTTGTAACTTTAAAGCAATTGCAAACTGCATTTAAGTTGTCGAAAATGTTGTTCAAAGATATAAGTTTAAGATAAATAATGAACATTATTATTATAAAAACGACGAAATGATATTTAGCAAGAAAAGTAATGGTTCAACGTAAAAGTCTAACCGAATATAGTTTTGAACCAAATAAATTTTTATCAAATATTCGTATAACTGAAAGATAAGAAGTATAAATTCAATTTTTTTAATTCTGAAAATACCTGTCCCAATATAGTAATATAGTATATATTACTTATTATAATACTTAATATAGTATATATAGTATATATTAAATATACAGATGTAATAAATAAATAAATTAAACACACACACGCACACGCACGCGCACGCGCACACGCACGCGCACGCGCGCACACACACACACACACACACACACACATATATATATATATGTAAAAATTATTGACAAATATACCACAATAATGGATAATTAAAATTTATTAAAATTAAATTCATATTAGAAATTTGTTTACATTTTTTTCAAAATACACCTTATCGGTATTCATCTTAAGTGCAAAATAAAGATAATAATGATTTTTTTTTGGACTTATTTTAATTAACCAGCGTATAGTATTATGCAATATTAACATTTATTTTTATTATTTTTAATTAAGTGTTTTTAATATTAATCGCTTTTGATTTTTACGATATAATGTCGGACGATATAATTAATTAAGATATAATTTCTTTTTATCGTTTACGGCAAAATATGAAAGATTACGAAAAGTATGTTCCGATTAATGTACAAAAGCAATCGTTAGTATGATCGTAAATGCTATACTTTAATATTTTATATCTTGGCACACCACGTCCAAAAATTTGGAGGGTGAAATTAAAACTTAAAGTTATAAAAAAGAGAATTTTCAATGCCTACGATGTGTTATTTTATAATTTGTATTATTTGATATCAATTGACGCGTTGATCAATTAATCACTACTATTGTCTATTATCAATGTAGAATTAAAAATTGACAGACAATTTTTTGTATCGCTATATAATAAGAAATCTGATAATCATCCTTTATTCCATTTATTGTTTCAAATTACCTGTAAGAACTCGATATAAAACTATCCTTTATTATAATAAATTATTGGTTGATTCAATCGCTTTAATCGCTTTAATCGCGGCAAATATTAGGAAAATTTATTATTTCTTATGAAAGCGCAGATACCGAGTAACCTACTATGCTATTGTGAAAAATAGTTCATCAATATTATCAAATTTTGCTTATTGATCATAAGATATTTGGCATAAATTATATCCTCTGTGTACCAATATTGTTTGTAATTTTTTTCTCATAATTTTTTTTTACCTTATCGTGAGCAGCGATGAATTTTTAATTTTACTCGCTCTTTTTCCTTTGTATGAAATATAATAAGATAATGGCTTATGCCTTCGATTACAGTAATTTACACTGCGAAAAATGCCTCATAATGTATTTTGAAATTCAAAAAATAAATTTACTTTTGTAGACAATCATCATGTTATTTGTTGTTGTTGTTGTTGTTGTTGTTATTTTTGTTTTTGTTGTTATTTGTTGTTTTTGTTGTTTTTGTTGTTATTTGTTGTTGTTGTGAACAAACATGTTCAGAGCTTATCTGACGCAAAACGAAAAATTGTAAAATGAAAGAGTCTTAACATTAAGCAGATAAAAATTTATATAACAATGTTTATCATAATTTCGTAATTTCGTAAAAACTATTTGAAGTAATTAATTACTTTCAACGACATTGGACTATCGAGAAACTTTAAAAAAAAGCTCACCACACCTTACGGACTTTTCCAATAGATAAGTGCATTAAGTAAGCTACCAGCGCCAGGCAATCGAACGCTTATTAAACGCAAAAAAAAAAAAAAACGTTTTCCCAGTGTCACGGGCCGAGAGCCAATCGAGAGCTGTTTGGAGGTCGGAATCCGCTGGTTCCCGCCTAGCTCCAAACCAACAATCGCCGAACTCTTAGGAACGCGCTAAAGTCGCACGCGCATCGGCAGTTACGCGGACGGAAAAGCACCCCCTCGAAGGGTAGAGCCGCTCTATCTTCATTTGGACTGAGCGGCTCGCGCCCCGAGACGCCAATAAAGTCACGGTATCTCGCTCCCTCTGTATCGTAGAGGCGCGCGACCCTTTCTCCGCACCAGGCACGAGCCAATGATTTCAGCGGGACGCTCGAGATCATCGCTTCGGCTTCGGCGAGATTATCTTCTCCGATTAGCCGCTAGCGTTTCTCCGAGGGTGCGGGGTGTGTTGGCAGTGGCTGCGGGGGCGGGGGGGGGGGGGGTTGCATGCATTTTTAATGTCATTGGGAGCTAACTCCGTTTAAGGTGGCCACCGCCAGGGGATTGCGGCTTTTGCTTTTAATTTCCTGACTCTTGCCAGTATTTAATGTTCGTTTTTTTTTTATATATTTATTTTATTTATTTCTTTTTTTTTTTTTTGTTTATTTTTTTTTTGTTTTGTTTTTTATTTGTTTACGAGCTCAATGGGAATTTGTTTATCTGACTATTCGATGACGATAATGATAGGTAGTTAGGATCTTCTTTACGTCTCATATCAACATTACGAGTTACGTTAGATCGCGTTACGTTACTTGTTGGCATTACTCATACAGGATAATATATGCGTAATGTTGAAAGTAATTTCTTCTTCTTTTTTTTTAACGTAGCGATTTCTATTGTAAGGAAACTTTGCACATATTCTGTAATACAATTATTTTGTGTTACTGTAATTAATTTTCTATTGGCTTAGACGATAACTCATTCGTTTATGAGAAATATTAATTTTGAAAATTTATGAACAGCAATATTTTTCTTTCAGTAATGATCGATAAATTTTGTTAGCAATAAGGAAAGTATATATATACGCATAACTATATATGTAAATAATACAAAATGTAATAATTTTTATTCCATTAAATATGAAAATTAAATATTCGTATTACTCTCAGATGAGAAAATTATATTTGCAGAAAAGGATAAAATTGTTTAAAAGTTGACAAAAACGTATTTGTATAAAAATTTTGTAATTATTACACAAGTAATTAATTTGAAAATTAATGCTCATCGGGCAAAATATTAAACATGAGAAGTTATTATGCCAAAGAATGTTTTACGTTTAATAAATTATTTTCATAGCAGCATAATCATTATTTAATTATCCGCTTTAGTACATATATTATAAATATTGTGATTAAAATTTTGCAAAAAAAAAACATAATTATACGTACATTCGAGAAATGTGAAATTATTTTATAATGCAATAATAACGAAAGGGATCGTTGTAAAGTTTTTTTTTTTTCATTTGTAATACGATATTCTTTATGTAATCTAATTAACAATGCCGTAAAATTTTTATTATCGATATCTTCAAATACATGATTTGTTGAAAATGAGCGATTTAACATGACTCGAGCTATAGTCAGGAATTTCTTCTTTTTTTTTTTAACAATATATAATTTATAAACGCCTTTTTACATACTTTTGATTACGCTGATACTATAGTCAAAAATTGTATAATAAAATTGACGTTATATAACCGAAAT